CCTCAGCAGCGCGCCCGCAGGTAAGGCGGCCGGGCCGGGCCGGGGCCAGCCTGCACACCCGCGTCCGCCCGTGGCTCGCGGGGACCCTCCAGCCCCTCCCCTGAGTCTTTTTTCTTTTTGGTCAGTTGCTGGACTTGAACTCAGGGCCTGGACACTGCCCTGAAGCTTTTTCACTCAAGGCTGGGTGCTCTACCACTTAAGCCACAGTGCCACTTCCAGCTTTTTTTTTTTGTCAGTCATGGGGCCTGAACTCAGGGCCTGGACGCTGTCCCTCAGCTCTTCAGCTCAAGGCTGGCGCTCTACCCCTTGAGCCACAGCGCCACTTCGGGTTTGCTGGTGGTTCATGGGAGATAAGAGTGTCACGGACTTTCCTGCCCGAGCTGGCTTTGAACTGTGATCCCCAGATCTCAGCCTCCTGAGGAAGCTGGGGTGGCCAGACTCCCCTGAATGGTGGGTGGGTGGAGGCAGCTTGCTGGCATGGCTTCGAGCCTCCCAGAGCCTCCTGTAACCCCGTCCAAGCTTTTCCTTTCAGACATGGACACCGAGAGAGAGGCCTTGCTGCTCAGTGCCTACCCCGAAGTGCAAGCCTTCTGCCAGAGGCATGGCCTGGGCTTTGAGGTGAGTGTCCCCTCCCCTCCCCCCATCCCACCCGCCTTCCTCTTTTGTGCCAGTCCTGGGACTCGAACTCAGGGCCTGGGCACTGTCCCTGAGCTTTTGTATGCAAGGCTGGTGCTCTACTACTTGAGCCACAGCGCCACTTCCGGTTATCTGGTGGTTACTTGGAAATAAGAGTCTAGTGGACTTTCCTGTCCGAGCTGGCTTTGAACCATGATCCTGATTTCAGCCTCCTGAGTAGCTGGGGTAACAGGCGTGAGCCACGGGCGCCTGGCACTTCTTGAGTCTTCTAAACAAGAGACTTTTCTTCCTGCAATGGGGCCCTGTGAATCTTCCACGCCCTGCAGCCATGAAAATAGAAATCCTAAGCCAGGCCCCGGTCTCACTTCCGGCTTTTTCTGTGTATGTGGTGCTGAGGAATCAATTGCTATGGGGTCTCGTGAACTCTTCTGCTGGGTTGGCCTCAAACTGAGATCCTCTGGATTTCCGCCTCCTCAGACGCACCCCGTTAGCTTGCTTGCTTGTTCCTTTGTTTGGTTGGCAGTGCTGGGATTTGAACTCAAGTCGTCACACAGGATAAACGGGAACTAACCGCTGAGAGCTCTATCACCGGGTCCCAGGCTGTCAGTGTTGATGATGATAAACAGAACCTTCCGGTCACCCCAGCCCCAACCAAACCTGTGTGCTTTTCACCCCCAGGTGGTTGATCTGAGGTGGGGTGTTCGGGAAGCAGATGTCTCGGACCACACCATGACTGAACTCTGCCTGGAGGAACTCAGCCGATGTCAGGAAACATCCATAGGGCCCACTTTCGTCGTGAGTCTGTCCATCAGCACAGGGCAGGGCGGGCCCATCCCTACCCACCCCCCTACCCACCCGCACATCCCCTACCCTGCCCACGGCAGACATTACCAGTCCATCGCAGCCCTCTTCCTTCCCTCCATGCTAGCTGGGCCCAGACATTAGAAGTCGAATGCTGATGCAGATAGCAAGCTGTCCAGATTGTTTTTTTGTTTTTGTCTTTGTATCTCTTTTGTCAGTTGGGGCTTGAACTCAGGGCCTGGGCGCTGTCTCTGAGCTTCTTTGCTCAAGGCTGGCGCTCTACCACTGAGCCCCTTCCACATTCCCAGCCCAGGACGCAGGCTTGCAAATCCTTCACAGTTCTATTTCCAGACTTTTAGATTTAATTTTCCAGTGAAAGATTGGGCTGAATTTCCAAAAGAAGCTGGGCGTCGGTGGCTCACAACTGTAATCTTGGCTCCTCAGGAGGCTGTGATCTGAAGATCATAGTTCAAAGCCAGACCAGGCAAGACAGCTTTTGAAACTTTTGTTTGTTTTGTTTGATTTCGTCGGTTGTGGGGCTTGAACTCTGGGCCTGGGCGCTGTCCCTCAGCTCTTCAGCCCAAAGCTAGTGCTCTACCACTTGAGCCACAGCGCCACTTCCAACTTTTTCTGTTTATGTGGTGCTGAGGAATCGAACCCAGGGCCTCATGCATGCAAGGCAAGCGCTCTACCACTGAGCCACCTTCCCAGCACCCACATTTTTTTGAGCCAATCAGTGGGACACACATGGTAATCCCAGCTACACAGGAGGTAAAAATTGGGAGAATCTTGGTTTAAGGCTTGGGCAAAAAAGTTAATGAGACCTCATGTGAATCACTAAGGCCGAGAAGGTGGCGGAGGCCTGCGATCCCCCTTTCAATGGAAGCCACACCTCCTGGGACTGGCTTTACTTCTGATGCTGAGCAACCAGCGAGACCCCATCCAAACTATTTAACTGAGGCTGGAAGGGTTCGAGGTTTGGCTCAAGTAGCAGTGCGCCTGCGCCCATCAGGGCCTGGTGTTTCAGGGCCCAGCTGCCTTGCGCTTTTCTCTGCCTGTGATTGCGGGGTGCACGGGGGGGGCGGTGCCTCCAGCCATCCCCGGAGTCTCTCCAAGGCCCAGGACTGGTGCCCCCCCCGCGTCTTCCTGCCCCGCTCCTGAGCCAGGCACCCCGTGTTCGTGTTCCTCCCCACACTCCCAACCAGGGATCTCCCATGACTCCCCGGGCGCCTGGCCTGGTGCCCTAGTAACCAGGTCATTAGGCAGCCATCAGCCGAGCGGGCTCATGGGGAGGGGGGGAAGGGGGAGACATGCCCCAAGAGGCTCCTGGGGAGTTGTAATAGTCCCTGCTCAGATCCTGCACACGTGCCAGTGCTGTGTGTGTGTGTGTGTGTGTGTGTGTGTGTGGCCGGGAGCCTGGGATGGAGCCGCAGCCTTGCGCAGCCAGGCAGGTGCTCTTCCAGTTGAGTCAGGGCCTCCAGGCTTTTTTAGCTTCCTTTCTCTTGTTATGTCTTATTGATGGAACTTAATCTATTAATCTATTTAGTCATCAGTTGTGGGGCCTGAACTCTGGGCCTGGGCGCTGTCCCTCAGCTCTTCAGCTCAAGGCTAGTGCTCTACCACTTGAGCCACAGCGCCACCTCCAGTTTTCTGGTGGTTCATTGGAGGTAACAGTCTCATGGACTTTCCTGCCCCTGCTGGCTTTGAACCAAGATCCTCAGATCTCAGCTCCTGAGTCCCTGAGCTGACAGCGGGAGCCGCCGCGCCCGGCTACCTGTGCCCCGATCATGGTTTCCCAGCATTTACCCCCTGGCCTGGGATGGGAGCGCGGGCTGCTTCGCTCGTGGTGTTGTGTCCACATGTGTCCGATGCCCCCCCCCCCAGGGCCTGCTGGGTGACCGCTACGGCCCGTGCCCTGTCCCAGGGCTGATCGAGGAGCGGGAGTGGGAGGCGCTGGCGGCCTCCCTGCGCGCCCGGCCTCGGGACCTGGAGCTGGTGGCTCGCCGCTTCCAGAGGGACGAGAACACGGTGCCGCCCACCTACGTCCTGCAGGAGCCGGACGTGGGCGAGGCTCGGGGGCCCGAGGAGGCCTCGCTGGCCTCTGTCCTCCAGACCGGTGCGCTGGAGGCCCGGAGGCTGGGCCTCCTCAGCCAGGAGCAGTGGCATCGCTACCATCGGTCAGGTGAGGCTGGGGACGCTCGTGGGCCTCACTGGGGAAGAGTGGTAGCCGAGTGGGCGTAGCCCACGGCTGTGGAAAAGGGTTCCAGGGGTGTGTGTGTGTGTGTGTGTGTGTGTGTGTCTTAGGTTTGAACTCAGGGCCTGGGCGCTGTCCCTGAGCTTTTTCACTCAAGGCTGGTGTTCTACCACTTGAGTCACAGCGCCACTTCTGGTTTTTGCTTATTCATTGGCAATAAGAGTCTCACAGACTTTCCTGCCCAAGCTGGCTTTGAACCGTGATCCCCAGATCTCAGCCTCCTGAGTAGCTAGGATGACAAGCGTGAGCCGGCAGCGTGAGCCCAGCCAAAGGTTGGCTCTGGCATGGTTGCTGTCTTTGACTTGGATTTGGAGCCTGTCTCTAGGGCCACTGGGAGCTGCAAGTGAACCATGGAGGAGCCCAGAGCGCCTCCAAAAATAACACCCCCATTGTGAGCCTGCCTTCACAACACCGCCTCCTGGGAGGAGGCCCGCCCTTGGGTCTAGAAAATAGCAGCTACAGAGCCAGGCCTCGTTGCTGTCACCGTGATCCCAGCTCCTCCGGAGGCAGAGATCTGAGGATCACGGTTCAAAGCCAGCCTGGACAGGGAAGTCTGTAAGAATCACCAAAAAGCCGAAGTGGCACTGTAGCTCAAGTGGTAGAGCACCAGCCATGAGTGGAAAAAGCTCAGGGACAGCGCCCAGGCCCTGAGTTCAAGCCCCAGGACACACACACATACACACACACACACACACACACCAGCGTCTCTCCGGCCACGCCGGGCTGGCCAGTGGCCGGTGGTGTCCACTCTCTCCCCGCTGTGGCTCTTGCAGTCCTCGAGTGGGAGCTGGAAGTCGGGGTGCTGCGGCCCGGGGCGGCGGCACGGGGGGTCACCGTGTTCCTGCGGGAGATCCGGGACGTCGACAAACACATGCTGGACGAGTGTGCGCTCCTGGCGCTGGACCGCCTGCCCGACGGCTGCCCGGACACGGGGGCCCGGGGCCTCCTGCGGCGCCTCAAGGAACGCCTGGCGGAGGTGCACCCCGAAATCCTCCAGGCCCACCCCTTGCCGTGGAGCCGGGACCTGCTGAACCCCAAGAACAAGGCCCACGCCCGCTACCTCCGGGGCCTGGGCGAGCAGTTCGTGGCCAGCACCCGTCACCAGATCCTGGCGGGGCTGGCGGCGCGGGGCGCGGCGCCCCGGGACCAGGCCTGGCTCTTCGAGGAGCTGCGCGTGCACCAGCAGCGCCAG